CGAGCCTCTTCACGCCTTCGTCTCTGCGCGACCCCCTAACACCCCCCCGGAGGATGAAACGATCTCCCGCAGATACAATAGGACAATCCGTTCGAGAGGTCGACTTTGGCCACTCGAAATCTATTTAGATCGCCATCCGATTTCTTGCTTTTGCCCGACACACAATGTCCGGCCGCTTTTCATCCGGGGCTTCTTCGCAGTTTTGTTAGCGTCAATGGAGGATGCCTGGCTGACCGGCACAACGAATCGTCCCGCGATTAGCGGTGAACTTCTTACTAATAACTGCGGTGAAGATCGAGTGGCGAACCGGGAAATTTCAAGTGGCACGCGAATTGGAGATACGTAGGCAAGGATCACAGATGGGCAATTGTGGGCAATGGAAATGGGCTGTTTTTTAAGTCTGCTTAGAATTTAGGATTTATGAATTTCTACATTTTTCAAGTTAGTCGATTGGCAAATTACTAGACTGCTTGATAACTAGATAACTAGATTAGATGACTAGGTGTTCAGTCATTCAGTTACTTTGTTACTAAATTGCTTGATCAGATGACTAGATGTTCAGTCATTCAGTTACTTCATTACTAAATTGCTTAATCAGATGACTAGATGTTTAATCATTCAGTTACTTCATTACTAAATTGCTTGATTTGCAGGTTATTAGATTACTATACTATAAGTTCACTAGATTACTACATTACTCGATGACGATATAAGTAAACGGCTAGATGGCTAGATTATTAGGTTGCTAAATTATTGGATTATTAGGTTATTATGTTACTAGATTGCAAGACTAAGCTACATTTCTAAATCTCCAAATTCTTCTTGTTCTCCCATCAAATACTAACTCTATCTGAATCATAATAAAACGTAAAGATAACTGATCTCTTTCTTTCCCATCTTCTTTCCCAACATACATTAAACATATGAAGTTTCATATGTTACAATATTAACATACATGAAAACATATGAAGTTTTTAAAAAAGATTTTCAGATAGTAATAAGAATTTCATTACAATACAAGAAGTTATGATTACATTACGTGTTACTTAGAAGCACGATTAAAGTCACTGTACGTCGCCATTTTGTCTGACCCGAATAACGCGGAGATAAAATCTTCGCGATTCATCTTCAGTTAACTCTGAAGATTGATCACATCAATTAAAGAAGAGAAACAGTGTATCACCGAAAACCGATTTCATGGCTAATAGTTCAGTGCGTGTTACTTGAACGCGATCGATAAAGTAGAATTAACGCAAGGATTTTAGAGAAGATCAGGGAAGATTAATGCCGGTGAAAAAAGCGCGCGGATTTAACCCGGTGTCCAACGTAAAACGGATCATCCGGAATTATGGGATCAGCGACACCTTCCGATGATCCTTGTCCATCTTTGCTTAAAGACTTAAGGTGCCAAATATTTTTTTGTGCAAAGTTACTGGGACTAATAGTTTACAGTTTGAATGCAAGGTTCAATAATTTGAATTTACGTTTTAATGTAATGCGTGGGAGTCTGACGGGTAATAAGCTAACGCGTGGAAAGCTAACGTGTAGTAATCTAACGCGTGGAAGTGTAACTTGTAGTAATCTAACGCGTTGCAATCTGATTTGTAGCGATCGAACGCGTAGAAATCTAATACGTGATAATCTAACGGGTGGAAATCTAACACGTGGTAATCTAACGGGTGAACATCTAGCACGTAGTAATCTAACGGATAGAAACCTAACGCATGATAATCTAACGGGTAGAAATGTAACGCGTGGAAATGTAACGTGTAGAAATCTAACGCGTGGAAATCTAAAGCGTAGTAATCTAACGTGTTGCAATCTGATTTGTAGCGTCCGAACGCGTAGAAATCTAGCACGTGATAATCTAACGGGTGGAAATCTAACGCGTGGTAATCTAACGGGTGGAAATCTAGCAACGTAGTAATCTAACGGGTAGAAATTTAACGCGTGGAAATCTAAAGTGTAGTAATCTAACGCGTTGCAATCTGATTTGTAGCGACCGAACGCGTAGAAATCTAACACGTGATAATCTGACGGGTTGAAATCTAACACATGGTAATCTAACGGGTGGAAATCTAGCACGTAATAATTTAACGGATGGAAATCCAACACATGATAATCTAACGGGTTGAAATCTAGCATGTAGCAATCCAAGACGAAGAAGTAACATGTAGCGATCTAAGAAACAGCAATCCATCATATGGAGATCCAACACATAAGCATAGAACGCGTGGCCATACAACGCACAGCAATATAACACTTCCGCTCCGATTTTCGTCATCCTCGCAACTCACACACTTCGTTTGGATACAAGTCCTTTAAAAACCGAGCCACATAACTCCAGATAAAGCTGATGCGCCATTTTGCGCCTTACACCGACAATTTACTGGACCACACACGCACTGGGTGCCATCTTGAAAAGCTCGTTCGCGTGGGATGTGCCGTGTCTCGAACGTGATTTTACAAGTACATTTTCACTTCCTTCATGCATTTAATATAAATCTCAAGACCGAATATACAGAGCTACTAAGCTACTAGAATCAGTACTGTTCAAAGCTAGAAAGAATGCACGTGGTTCCTCCTACTACATAGATGATATTAATTAATTATAATCGTTAGTACACCTTTGCTAAATTTATCGTAAACTCCATATGTTCTAATCGTATCCGTCGCGACCAATCAGATCCACGTGCCTTCTTTCCAGCCGCGAACACCGCTCGTTGCGGTTCGAGACATTCGATGAATGAAAGTTCAGAGAGGTGAATGAAGTTCGGTTACTCGAGCATTTAAGGTTTTCGATCCGAGACACGCATCGGTGCGCCGCTAACAATGGAGTCCCGGCAGACTACGACGATATTTCGTGACACGCGATAAACAACCGCGGTTTGCTTTATGCGTCGGGAGATTCCGCGACATTCGCACCGTGTGTGTTTTTGCAGGGGGTCGCGACTTGCCTGTCCACCAACGCTCATCAACCTCATCAAGCCCCGACCGCGACGGATCTAGGGACTTTATGGCGCGAGGAAACAGACTGCGTCGGTTGCGAGTTTTTAATTTCCCGTTTAGAGTTGTTTATTCGTCCTTTCAGTGAGTACGGGAAGTTGCTAGATAGGGAAAAATTTATAACGTATGTTTAACAATTATTTCCATTGTGTGGATATGAGCAAATTAAAGATGCAGGCGGTCGATGTAAATCAGGGAATTAACGCGCACCTAACCCTCTCATGCATGTTACCTCTCCTCACATTTTTTACATTCGCTCATAATTTTAGAGAGCTTCCTGAATGCTGCTGCTAAGTGATTGTTAAATATTTGTGTCTTCCCAGAAAGCTCTTTACCGACTACATTTCGGCCTTATATGAGAACGTCGTGTATATTATATTTAATTAACAGTAACTGACAAAAGTCACTTTACATCTAATGAATATTCTTAAATGTTAAATCTTTAATTTAAAAGATGCAGTGCTGTTATTTAAAAGATTCAAGAAATGTTGTCTTAGTTCTATAATATATGAGGGAGATACTAAATTCATTGATTAAGATTCTTCAAGATTATTGATTTGCAAATAAAATATTAATTTAGAGCTGCAGCTCCACGTTCAATTAAAACATCGTTTAAATATTTTCTACATAAATATACATGAAGGTACCCATCCTTAAGATTTAACGAATCCTCAAAACATTTCCCAAAAATATTTTCAAATCCCAGATCTGTCAGGTGCTGTTCATTCAAAACAACGTATAAACAATTTCTAACTACATAAGCTAAAGACACCAAGTCCTTAACGAAGATAAAAATGAGGAAGTCAGTAAACATTTCATATTAGTCACAGTATAAATCCACGTACCTTCATGATTCTCTCGGAACAGCGATCAAGACACTGGTACACCGTGCGGTTGCGTTAAACGATCTCTGTGCTTCCGGTATCGATCACAGGAGGTTAATTGGCAATCTCAAAGGCATCGTAGAAACCGCGCGGAAAATAAACGCGTTCACGTGAGGCGCGAGCAAGCGATAGCTACGCCCGAGGAGCGCAGCATAGCTCGAATACGGCCGGTGCGCTCGGCGATATAATGCAATTCCCGAGCGAGGCTACGGTACACGGCACACACAGAACTGCGGGTCCGCGAAGACCCGTTTCTATCGTGTCTCGTTCCACGGTGGGCGTGGCCGTAAACGACCAGTGGGCGTGACCGTTGCGCTGTCTCCGATTGGCCGACTCTCGATCCGCCCAACATCGCGAAATTAAACGCTGCCACGAGGAGCAACGTCGCGCGCACGCGCACAGCGCTCCCCGGCTCTATGAGCAATGCGACTCTTTTTTGATTGGTCGCGTTCCGCGCGCTGGATCATTCTCGAAAATCTTTCTCCCGAGACGATACGAGGGATCCTCCGGCACAATCCTCCGGCTTGTTGTGATAGATTGCGATGTGATACGCGTCCACTCGCCGACGATAAATACACCGTTTAATTCTTAATAGACTTCGCCCTTATGCGGATAACGGTTATGTACTATTCTTTTCTGCACGCGGCAAAAATTGATGGAGGAAACGATTTTTATAGTTTCGAAATTTGGAATTTGTGGAGGTTTGGAGATTTTGGGAATTTGGGGATTTTGGGAAGTTGGGAATTTTGGGAGTTGGGGATTTTGGGAAGTTGGGGATTTGGGGATTTGGGGACTTGGGGACTTGGGGACTTGGGGATTTGGAGACTTAGGGATATGGGGACTTGGGGATTTGGGAATTTTGGGGAGTTGGGAATTTTGGAGATTTGGGGATTTTGGGAATTTGGAAATTTTGGGATTTGGGAACTTAGGGATTTGGGGACTTGGGGATTTGGAGACTTGGGGATTTGGGGACTTAGGGATTTGTGGACTTGGGGATTTGGGAATTTTGGGGAGTTGGGAATTTTGGAGATTTGGGGATTTTGGGAATTTGGGAATTTGGGGATTTGGGAACTTAGGGATTTGGGGACTTGGGGATTTGGAGACTTGGGGATTTGGGGACTTAGGGATTTGTGGACTTGGGGATTTGGGAATTTTGGGGAGTTGGGAATTTTGGAGATTTGGGGATTTTGGGAATTTGGAAATTTTGGGATTTGGGAACTTAGGGATTTGGGGACTTGGGGATTTGGAGACTTGGGGATTTGGGGACTTAGGGATTTGTGGACTTGGGGATTTGGGAATTTTGGGGAGTTGGGAATTTTGGAGATTTGGGGATTTTGGGAATTTGGGAATTTGGGGATTTGGGAACTTAGGGATTTGGGGACTTGGGGATTTGGAGACTTGGGGATTTGGAGACTTGGAGATTTGGAGACTTGGGGACTTGGAGACTTTGGGATTTGGAGATTTGGGGATTCAGGGACTTGGGGACTTGGGGACTTGGGGATTTGGGGATTTGGGAATTTTGGGAAGTTAGGAATTTTTGAGATTTAGGGATTTGGGAATGTGAGAACCAGGGAATTTGGGAATTTGGGGACTTCGGGAATTTTGGAGGCTTAGAAATTTTGAAGATTTGGAAATTTGAGAATTTTGAAGTTTTGGGAATTTGGGGATTTAAGGATTCGACAATTTCAGGATTTGGTACCTTAGTAATATTAAAATTTAGGGAGTTGGGAATTTGCAGAAATGAAAATTTGACGATTCAAAAATTTGTAAGTCCCCACATTCACCCCCAAAATTGCAAGTATACACCCCTCACAACCAAACAATTCTCCAAAAATTTGCACACCCCTAGTGACATCGCACTCGTACAAAACCGTTGTAACAAAGTACCAACAAAACTGGCGTGAAACGAGTATAAGAGGTACAATATGCAAATGTCGTAGAGAGGCAGTATACAAAGTGGTCAGTGAAAAAATGTCCAAGAACGAACGACATTGAGTTCCTGACGCGTTTACCAACGTGGTTTTCGCATTTCCACGGGCGCAACTCTTATTCACGTGCGACGAATATAATAAATAACAATACGAGGCTGCCTACAGGTACAGGGTCTCGCATAACTTCACCCTATACCTGAACTGCCGCGGCGCGTCATTAAAATTATTTATGGGGAAATAAGAATCCGAAGCCTTTAAGTCCAGCTCTCGGAGGTTCGCATGGAAATATCCCTTGATCGTCCACTGCATCTCTTATCCTCGATCCCCTTTAGTCCCGACGCCGTCTCTCCGGGCTTACGGGTTAGTTACCGTTAGTAGATTAAACTCACGCTTCTCGTATGTTCACTGCATAAGTTTTGAACGCGTTTAGCCGGTAACGTATGCGCACACCTGAGTACCAAATCGCTAGATTTGTGGCGCGAGCAGGTTTACGATCAACAAATATACTCCGGGCTAGTTTTTCCGTGTTTCAACCGTGAAACGAGCAGGTGGATGATGTATGATCTAACTTTCCATGAGAATTTCGTGAAAGGAATACGTGTTACGAGTGAATGTTTATTTGGATATTTAGGTTGGGACACATTAGTCGACTTAAAATTGAATTCAAGATTTTGTGACTGTTCTTGTATGTTTACAATTCGAAAATTCAGCTATGTTAACAGGAAGGACCTTTTGAGAATTTTAATTTTAGAAGAATGGTTAAGAAGCTGCAAAGGCTACTAAATTTCAATATTGAGCGACATATAATGTGTACTTAATTTGAAATTAAAAATTAAATAAAGAAATAAATAAACAAACGAAACATAAATTAGTACACACATTTTATCTTGATGAAAATCAATGCTGATTTCAAGGAATATACTTTAACAAAATGTGCATTTTATAATAAGAAACTTGTGGACAGGTCATTTTGGTTTGGTAATTTTAGTGTTAAAAATGAAGTAAAGTATAAAATTTGTAAAGTAAGACATTTTGAAGGTGAATAATTGTAATGAACTATATGTGCTAAGAGACTTTTGCAAGACTCAGAAGACGCTATCTGATGGAAAACACAGCGGCAGTAGAGTAAACAGGGTCGCCTTGAACGTGTCGATAATCCAATTTACCAGGCGCCTCCGTTTATCCACGTGATTGAGGCAACAGATATTTAGCCTATTGATCGCGTAATTATTCCCGAATCCGTGGGCTGCTCGGGTCGGAGGGCCGTGGCATGCGCACGGTCGAAGATGAAGAGGTAACACCGTAGGAGGCGAGAAATAAGAAAAAGGAATGAAGAAAGAAAGAAAAAAAATCCCGTCGAGTGGCTCAGCTGGGGATTATTCCGGGTGAAGCTTTTTCGTCGGTCGAGTTTCCCTATCGACCACCTGGCCGCATAGTTACACCTTGTAAATGACCGGTGTCTACCGATGCTAATAAACAGAAACGGACACGGTCCGCGTCCAGCTCGCGTATTTGCCAGAGATTAATCGACGCGGATTTGTCACGGACGTCGTTACGAGTTCGCTCGGTTCTATTTCAACACGACGACAACAACGAGTCCCTATCAAAAGCAGTTTCCAAAGCTTCGAGAATAGGTCCAGACAGGAAACCGCTGCACACACCGATCGTTTCCGTCAGCTCGGGCTGATTTATCGTACCGTTTACAGCGACCGTACTTTGATAAACGGTAAATTGTTTCAGCCAAAGTAGCTGCTCGACAATTTCAATGACGCGCGATTAGTAGAACGTCCACGCTTATGGTAATCCTACAGTTCGAACGATATTGTTAGCCGTAGGGATCGAGTACTCGTTATGCAAACTAACCAGGTGATTAGGACATCAAGGGTGGGCTGATGGAAGTTTTGTAAGCGGTGCGTTTAGCGTGGATTATGGGGTTTTTACGAGGTTCAATTTCGAAGTATCGGATGTTAGAAGGTTATTAAGGATCAAAGTATCCAAGATTTAGAAATACCAAAATTTCAAATTCGCAAAATCTTCAAATTTCATAATACTGTATTACAGTTCTAACACAATACAGTTCTTGCTACAATACATTTATTGCTACAATACTACTACAGTTCTTGCACAATATCAAAATCTCAATATTATATGGTACCATAGTTTAAATCCTAAAATCCCGAATTTTTACAACCTCCAAATCCTACCAACCTCAATTACCAAATTCGCTAAACTTCACAATCCTCAAATCTCAGAATCGACAAATCCCACAATTCCCAAATTCTATAACTCTCAGATCCCAAAATCCCCAATTCCTACAAGCTCCAAATCCCACAAGCTCTAACTTCTTCAACCCCCAAGTCTCACAATTCTTAAATCCTAAAATCCCGAATTTCTACAATCTCCAAGTCCTACCAACCCCAATTACCAAAGTCGCTAAACTTCACAATCCATAAATCTCAGAATCGACAAATCCCACAATTCCCAAATTCTATAACTCTCAGATCCCAAAATCCTCAATTCCTACAATTTCCAAATCCCACAAGCTCTAACTTCTTCAACCCCCAAATCTCACAATTCTTAAATCCTAAAATCCTGAATTTTTACAACCTCCAAATCCTACCAACCCCAGTTTCCAAAGTCGCTAAACTTCACAATCCTCAAATCTCAGAATCGACAAATCTTAAAATCGTCAAATCCCACAATTCCCAAATTCTATAACTCTCAGATCCCAAAATCCCCAATTCCTACAATCTCCAAATCCCACAAGCTCTAACTTCTTCAACCCTCAAATGTCACAATTCTTAAATCCTAAAATCCCAAAACTTGCAAGAATCTCAAAATCCAATGAACACACATGTATACACATACTTCAATATAAACTTCCTTCAATGTATTTAGAATTTGCTCCTCCCAATATCTCAAAACACATCCCTGATCTGATTTACCTAAATCTATCGATCTACCTATGATTTCATCCAGTGATATTTATTTACACTGTCAGGCGTTATTTACTAATACCACATGATCGTCCACGAAGAGAATACGTATTCATCTAGTGGGTAGATTTTGGGGAAGATATACGAGGGTGGATCACCCAAATAGACGCTTTTGACCGAGATAAGAACGTCATTCGACCGTGCGACACTCGTCGCCGATAATTTGGCCCTCGACGTACCACGCGAAAAATTGTATCGATTGATCGAACAAAGGACCGTT